GTCCATATATCTCTATTTTTTGTAGATCACTGTAGCAAATTGTATCTAATAAGTTTTTTTTTTAATCATAGCCCTGTTTATTACTCAAATTATAATTTACGATTTTATTAAGGCTTTATTTTGGCAATTAAAATTAACCGCTATTAATATAATGGGATGTAATATTGCTGTGAAAAAAATATCCTCAAACATCATGTAACCCGTGATTCGATCGCATGCTTTCATCTCATTACGAGCTAACTCGGCAGCGATAGATAACATCGTATAAGTTCAGTCCGCCGGAAACATAATTGCGATTTATGTTTGTGCCATTGTTCGAGGGGGACCGTCTGCTCGTTCTTCTAGCCCCCGTCGAGGAGGCACATTTCAGAACTCCCGAATGACTATAGGAAAATCTTTAATTCACCCTAGCCCGCCCTCTTCGTCTAAGCGAGCCGGAAATGATGAATTTGCGAGTCTTATCGCGAGGACGAAAACGACGCCGTTTCTTGACAGCACGGGGGGTCGGCAAATAAATAAGCTGTCCTTAACGGACGAAAGGACCACGAACGCTCCCGGGGACGTAATCCTTGGGCGGTTCCCACCCTCTTTTTCTTATGATTATGAAATCTCTTATCGGGAATGACGGGAGAGTCGCGAGAGCGAAATTAGATCTACCGGGGATCCGTCGTTGTGCGCTTTGTGTAAAGCTTTCATAAACGGACAGCTGGTCAAAATTATAGTCTTCTATATAGGAATTTATGTATCTCGGGACAGCAGGCTCTCGCGTTTGATCCGAGGGGTCGATAGCGGAACCGAAAGGATGTTGTTCCTTCCCGAACTGGAGTATAGAACCATTAATCAAACGATCGCGATTCTTGATTGCGACTATTGCACAGTCGGGAGACAATTAGCAAGGATTGCGAGGGAGAATTTAAACACATTCTCGCCGTTCTCCGGTTCGAAGTTTAAGCAAACTCCACGATGCAAATGCCGGCGGCTTTAAGCGAGCGTTGCAGTGTCTTATCACGATGCCCTTTCCTTCCTTTACCTCTTTCTCGATACGCAGCTTCAGTTCTCGAACGTTTCGTGAAACTTATCGCAATTTGTAAACTCGACCTCTTAACCCGCGAGTTTTCAAGAAAATTGAGAGAAAAGATTTTGCCCTCTACTGCGCATACTAATGTCGTGATACGAATGTTAATTTCTTGCCACAGCACGCGCAATCGTACAACGCTTTAATATTTATTACCAAGTATAATCTTTAAAAAATCAGGTCAAACTTAAATAAAAATTATTTATTATACATGCATATATGTTTATTTATTTTTAATCTTAATTCAAATTAATTTAGCGAGATAAAAATTTAGGGTGTCTATAGCGGTCAGGGAAATCTGGAAAATCGGGCATTGTCAGGGAATTTTATAAATCTGGAATTGTCAGGGAAAAAAGTCGCGAAATTTTACTGGGAATTTATCCAGATTTTTTTACATTCTACATTTGTCTCAATAATTCAAAATTTTTTATTAAATAAATATAAACTTTTCCTCGACTCCCAGCACGCTGATTTTCTGGGTTGTTAAAAATCGATTCATCTACAGCGTATTTGTTAATTTATATTTTTATCGTCGTTTTATTTTATTTTAATGTGTTTGATAGAAAGAAAATTTAAAAATTTGATAGAATATAAATAAAAAAGTGGTTATTAAAATAGTTTATAGTGACATGTTTGTTTCGATTATCGTACACAATGCAGATTGTATAATTGATTTAAATTTTTGTTTCAACTTCCGAACCTTTTTATTGTTGACAAAAATATCTCAAGGATTTCGTGATTTAACATTTCATTGATTTCTCATATAGATATATGCAAATTATATATTTGGAAAAAATAATACTAAACAGTCAGGGAAAAAATTAATTTCTGGTCTTGGAAAATCTGAAAAAGTCAAGCAATTTTTTTTATCGAGACTGCTGGACACTGAAATTCCACACTTTATTAAAAGTGATATTGAAGATTTAACTGATGAAATATAAACTAGCCAATAAATAAAGTTGTTTTAAAAAGAAAAATCGAGTAGATAATACTAATTGTAGAATTATGGATTTAAAATTACGGACGTTCGATATATCAATTAAGAGAATTGTCATGTTCATTGCATAGTGATATTCAATAAAGCTATTTGACTTAAAGATGTCGCAAAAGCGGCTTAAAACTCCCTCAAGATTCATGGAGCGCGCACAAGCGAAATCCTTTAATTGACCGCATGCAAGAACTCATCATCCCAATGAGTCTTAGGCCAATTAAGGAAGTTTGTCCGTTAGGAAGGTTTGTAACCTTTCCGCGTCCTTGCGCCCGAGCTGTTACAGGAATTAACGGCTCTCGGTTTCTCAAGATATGTTTTGCATTATACGCGATGAAATAATCATTTTAGATAGATTTCAACGAGTTAACAACGCATCGAAATTAATTAAAATGAATAGCAATTTATTTTATTAAACACAAACTTAATAATACTTTATTACATTTCACTGACACAGGCCTTTTTTCGAAATAATGATTATGTTTGTGGAAAAAAGTATAAGAATGTATAAGATATTTCCGAATGATTGTCGAAAATGAATTTAACAAAGTAGCGCAAGTGAAAAATAAAATTCGCTGATGACGTTTTAGAATGACTAAATTAAAATTGAAAATTATGATAAATCTTTGCATAAATTCTGACAAATCTGAACCAAAAAATTTGACAGGAATATCCCAACACTTTCGCCTGTTTGATGTAATGTTCGTCAATAGCGTACAGAGGAACCCTCCGGAGAGAGAACGAGAGACAGAGAGAGATCGACTTTTTCCGGCCGGCAAATTACGGCGGTTTCAATTTTCGTGCCATTGTCGATTACGTGACCCGCTCGTCACACGCTAGTTGCTCACACCAGGGCAACTCCGGCGTCAGCAAACCAGTCCGCTTTGGTACTCTCGCGAGAGAGAGTCCCGGCTTTTTTAATCCGTATTCAATTATTCTCGCAGTATCCACCGCGGTTTCAGTATTTGCGAGATCAACTGTTACACAGTGGGGCGAGTGGAAAAAAAAAAGAATTATTTAGGCGAGAACTGGCCCGCGCGCGTGTTTCGATTACACGGCTCGCTCATCGCATTGTACGCTCGAATCGGAGATTTTTTTTTGTTTCTGTTTGACTGACAGTTCTCGATTTTCCGGAGCGCGCGGTATTGTCGAAAACGACTCGCGGTGTCAGAATTCGAACGATCGTTTGTCCGCGATCGACCGACTATACCTGAAACACAATTCCGTTATCGCTCTGTTTAATCAGGATGAAAGGAAAAATTGGACCGTTAGGCGGTCTCTCTCGCGACAGATGGATATTTATCGCGCTTTAAAGTCGCGTAATTAACCGCGTTCAATCGTAAATCGACGTGTGCCCTCTGGAGAAACTCCCGCTACTTAACGAGTAGTTGCCCGTCGCAGCTGGCTCGCCGTAAATTCGATAATGATTCCCCACGTTGCGCCGTTATTTCCATTCGTCAGGTAACCGTGTCCGGGGCTTTACGTACGCCGAGAGTTAACGAGCTAATGAGCTCGAGTGTGCCGAGTTGGCACACAGAAGAGAGAGAAGAGCCGCGAATGCGAAGCGTGTGCACATCTATTCTGCATTACGACGCTGCTCCGATGCAGCTTTGCTCTCGCGTCCGGATGATGACGGACGGAACGAGGGAGAGGAACGTTTCCCAGTTAGGGCAATTCCGCACTTTCTCGCTCGCCGCAATTAATTAGCTCAATTCCCGTTTCCTGTTATGCACGCTGTGTATCGTCGGGCGCCCAGCGCGCGCATTCCGACGACGCTCGCATTCCGTTGTCATAGTTGACGCACGCACGCACCTCGAAAGCCCCCGACATGGGCGCCGAGACGACGTCGCTCTGCCTCTCGTTGTTGTGCATTTACGTGATGACGGCGCCGCCGCCACCCTCGACTACGTCAGCCACGACGTCGTCGCTCTTCCTACTCTTAGTAAGGCCGTAATTGCGCGGATTAATCTCCTTGTCTCTTAAGGATTGTGATTACGAAAATTGATTTTCTTATTCAGAATTTTCTACGAGTTTCTCTGATTAATATCAGAGAACGTTTTATATAAAAATTCTAGTTTGATTATATTGTCCCACGATTATCTCATGATTTTCAGGATAAATTCTAAGAGAAAATTCTCTCTGTGTATTTATTTGATTAATTAAATTATTGCGATAAAATGAGATTTTTTTACGCGAGAAGATTTTGGAGAAATGTGTTGGGAAATTGTTTTGTTACGAAAATTACGGATTTTTTAAAATCAAGTGGAATATTCTTGAATTAAAAAGTGAAAAATTAAAAAATGAATTTAAACGTACGACTCGATATGACGAAAAGTGCCAATAATAATACCTATATTCTTATGGCGAGGCGTATAATTAAATTAAATTACAGTATAATAATAATAAATTAATTTACATATTAAATTAATGAACGAAATAATTAATAATTTATATATTAGTAATTACAAATTAATTTATTGTAATAATAAATTAAGATGTGTACATGTGTAAACATGAATTACGAAGATCTCTCACAGAGAAAAATTTAAAACGGCAATTTAATTGCAAACGCGAAATTACACAGTCAGACGGGGCACTTAAGATAAACATCGTTGAAAATGAGGAGACGCGAGAGCGTATAAGCATATTCCTCTCATCTCTCGTTCTCACACCGTTTCCATACATCGCGTCGCGTTAAAAGACGTTATTATCCATGCGTTGGCGACGTCGCGTCGGCCCATAGAAAAACAAGAGTGCGGAATGCCTCGTAATCGTATCATTATCGACGGGGATTATGAGCAATCACTCTAGTCGTTCATCGAGACCGACGATTTTTCCTCGGCGTCTTTAACATCGGTTACGCCTATTAAACACGCGAACGCATACATGTCTCTCCTGTCAGGATAATGACCGTTTTGTGGTTTTCTGCTTTCGCAGCTTACGCGAACGCGATAGATCCTCATCTGGAGATCCTGCCGAGCGGCGAGTTGCAGACGAAGCCGATCGGATCCAGCATTCTTCTCACGTGTAAACCGAAGGTGGACAATCCGATGCTCGTGGACGACATGCAATGGCTCGACCCGCAGAATCGCGTGATCGAATCCCTCAAGTAAGTCGATTGCACTGCCTTCTGCTTATAAATGACATTTCTCAAACGACGCAGAAACGTCGTTTTTCTATCTATATTGTAATCAGGAATTTTCTCCGGAATAAGGATTTTAGCTGCAACGATATTCTGCAATTGTTCTTTAGAATCTTTACGAGTAATTAAAAGATTAGCGAATTTTATTGTTTTTCTTATCAATTTGTGTATAAATTTTGCTTTGGCATTAAAGGATTATATTTATATACTTGAATTGCATATTTACGTCGAGTTGAAATATTTTTTAATCGCGCGATTAAAATGTGTGCAAATTTTTCATAACTTTATTGATTTATAATTACGATCGATGTGAATCCTTGAACACTAATTCGACAAATTTCTGTCATTTCTTTAACGCAAACACAGACTAGTCGTCTTGCCACTTGAAAGGCGAGTATATAAAACTCCATTAGAGAGAACTTAAACGCGCAATCATATATAGTAGTATAGTGCCGCGTTCTTTTCGCCTTCTATTTTCCCATCTCTCTTATTTGCGATACACTCATTTCGCCTCGAATTCACCGACAGACACCATCATTTTTCCCACGATGCAGCCACGATGTTTCCCGCAGCCTGCGTGTTCCGGAGCTCTTAATTGCCGGAGCGCAGTTCGCGAACTGGCTATCGCTCGTTAAGCCGTTCGGAAAAGTTCCGAATGGTTCGAACCTGACTTATCGAACGTCCGCGCACACATGCTCGAAGCGGAAAAACTCGTTGGCCGAGAGAAAAAAAACTCACCGGCCGGCAAATGAAATTTTCGTTCGTGTATAACCGAGTGATCTGTGGAACAATCGCGGGATCCGCTGAAAAACCTTGCCAACTTTATCGCGAATATATAAAATTCTTTTTATAATGTTTTCAATCCTTCTTTTATAATCTCTGGGCATTTTATAATTTTTGCATCGCATCGAAAAGTAAAATTTTGCTGAAATTATCATTTCTAAAGAGAAAAATATTTTCTCCCGTTTTTATTTGCATCTTGTAAAATGTTATTTGTCGCACGTTTTAATTCTTTTTTTTTTTTTTTTTTTTTACACAATCTTCTTTTACAATTCCATCATTAAAAAGTAAGATTTATCTGATTCGATAAAAAGAGATGTTTTTCGCTATCTATTTGCATTTTGCAGAAATTTTTTTTTCGACCGTTTTAATTCCTTTTTTTTTTTTTTTTATGTTAACGAGCTTTTTGATTAAATCGCTCGAGCACGAGGAATTAAAAATGAAATATGAACTTTCTGGAACACAGCGTGTAACCGGCAATTAAGCAGCTCCGCAATGGCGCAGTTTCTGCAAAAGGTCCATTTCAACGTAACATTTGCAACATTCGTATATATACGTTCGTGCAAAGTCTGTCCGCGATATCGCCAGCAGCTAATGTATGTACCGCGCGTTGCTCTCTCCCGCTGCAAGTATTTAATCCAGCGATCAAATAATCTAACGAACGTTAACCCCGGTAACTGATTCATCGTGTCGCGTGTTTGCACGATTACTCGAACCTCGATTTGCATAATTAAGTACATTCGTCGTCAAGAGTATCGCGCGTGACATTTCCGGACAAAATCGTCCCGTTTCGGCCAATTACGCCACTCAATTACGCTCTCGATAACATCGGTTACGTGAATACGAGTTTATTTAGCGAAAATCGATATTTATATCGAGAAAGCGGAGATTAAAGCTGGAGCGAATTTGCGTGCAATTCATTAAACCGACGTATATACGCGCGAATAATCGAGATAAGAATTTTCTGTCGGGACTTTTGACTCGCGACACGAGGAGAATTTTATCTTAGAATTTATAAATTCCAAAAGATATTAATATGTACATACATAGTAAAATTAATCGAACATATTTTATATCTCATTGTGGTAGATATTAATATTTTTTTATTGTGATAAATATTTAATCAGAGAAACTTTTATCAAATGTTTCCAATATCATATTGTCCCATTTTCCAGGTAAATTCTAAAAAAAATCTGTGTATATGTATAATCAAGACTCGCGAATTTTTGTTCAATCTTTCTCTTTTCACGCATCATATAATCGTCATCGTCGCACGATGCACCGCGGCTGCTTTGCCATAAATAAGTATCTACTTATTTTCAGGCACCATTGTTCAGTGCTTTTCACATTTTTTATTCACCATATTTTAATCGCTGTAATAATTTTCCGCTCTAGAAGAATGAAAGTGTGTCGCAAAACAGCCGCGTCTCCGTCACCTCGAGTCACCATAATCGGCAATATCCATATTCGTATAACCTTCATCGTCGATATTACATCCGGCACCTCATCTCTCGGCATACTATATGGAAATTGCTTGAATACATCACATCTCACCTGTCCTCGCATCATCCGCCGATACGTTGCACCGTCATACAATGCAACATTGAATAATACGAGATCCACGTGAATGCGTCTCGTTCACACGTCATCCTCACGTCACGCAGGGTATCATCGCGATATCGTAGCACTCAGTGATCGTTATACATCGATATCCCTTTATACGTTGCTTAGGACCGATATGCAAATTCTTTCTCCGCAAACTATGACGTTATTCTTCACAGTCCGTACACGCGGGGTCACTCCAAGCCTGCCATGTACACCGAGCTGCACCAGGATCGTAGTCTCTCCCTGTTCTTTAATTCTCTCCAGGAGGAGCAGGCCGGCAAATACACCTGCAAGGGGTCTTATGCGCGTAACGAGCAGTTGAACAAGTCCGTGATAATCGATACTATTAGTAAGTATATGGAATTATAAGGGCGCGTTAGAATTTTAATTTTCGCGAGAAATTATATTCCGATATATGTATGTATACATACGACACATTACCCCCGGTGTGTGATATCGAACAGTGCTTAATTAATTTTTTACGAAGGTCTACCTTCGTGAAAGGCGCGTAACGTAGAGTACATAAAAATCTATAGGAAACGATAACAGAATTTTTTAGGTAAAATTTTATCGGAAGCTATGTGTAACTTCCCTTATATAATAAGGCGGGCAATTGAAAAAAGATAAAGTATCAGCTGATAGATATTTAATTTTCATTATTTTTAACAGCCGATAAAAGTTGGTCCTTTTTCTTGTTAGAGAAAGAAATTTCAATTTAATTAAACGCTATATATTTTTTCGGAAAAAGACGGGGCTGTGATGTGTAATGCGATAGGTTTTTTTTTTCCTAAAAAATTTTAAAAATTTAATTTGTCATTAAAACAGTTGCAATCACGTGGGAGAATGCGCCGCCAAATCAATATCCCATTCTCGGGGAGGACTTTGCTATTCAGTGTCATGTACGCGCTAGGCCTTCGCCCTCGGTCGATTGGCTTTACAATGGGGAGTTGATAAAAACAAACGAACGTTATATCATAAACACTTACGCCTTGAAGATCAAGAATGTGCAAGAATCCGATGACGGCATATACACTTGTCGTGCCTCGGTGCAGACCACAGGAGAATTGCAAGAGCGACCTATCCGCGTTGAGGTACTATGATTAATATTTTAACTATTAACGTGCGCACACACACATATCAAATCTAAGAAAAAAATTACAAACGACAACTGATCCAATCATTATTATCTTTACATTATTTTATTACAATGATTACAATAGTGTTACTTCTTTTATGTTGTCAGCTTGCTAATACATATTTCTTCAATGTATTGTTGACAATTTGATCTAAAGTACACTAATACAACTTTAGTATAATTTTTATAGAATTTAAAAATAAAATGCGCAAAAGTAAATCTAAATAAAGATATTGATCTCTAAGTGGATTCTGCTAAACCTCCGCCCAACAATTTTGTTTATTAATTCTCACGTAGGTACACATACGACCGTCGATCGAGGAGATTTCGAGTCCGGTAGATATTATTGAAGGCGAGAACGCAAATATCGAGTGCAAAGCCACCGGCAAGCCGCCACCAACCTTCACATGGATCAAGTCCCTCACCCAGCAGAATCTTTCTATCGCTGATCGCTTCGGCGTCGATCCGATCACGGGTGTGCTCACCATCACCAACGTGAACCGCGAGGATGCAGGCGAGTATCAGTGCACCGCGACAAACGCTGCCGGCACGACGACCGCCAACATCCAGGTGAACGTAATCGTCAAGCCCAAGATCATGGAGTTCGTGAACAAGACTGTGGTGGAGGGCTCGAACACCGAGATCATGTGCAAGGCCTTCGGCCGACCGCCGCCCGAGATAGCCTTCAGGAAGTTCACGTCCGACAGCGTGTACGTGCTGGGCGTTCAACGTCAAGACGATCGAATCATCATGACGAACAAGGCGGAGGACGTGTCCGGCGAGACGGTGGGCACCCTGTCAATCAATAACGCCCTCACCAGCGACGATGGTTTGTACGAGTGCGTGGCGAAGAACCGCGGCGGTGTCGCCTACAAGAACGGCCACGTGACGGTCGAGTTTCCGCCCACCTTCCGCAGCATGTCCAACAAGACGTTCCTGTCGTGGGAGCAGCGACCGGTGAACCTCACCTGTATCGCCGAGAGCATACCGAACGCGACGATACGCTGGACCTGGCGTGGCGACCAGAGAGTCGACGACCAAGTCTCGTTTCAAGTTCTCGGCAACGGACCCATTTCCATTCTCGAGGTACGGCCGGTTGATCACAGATTCTACACCACTTACAAGTGCATCGCCGCGAATCCCCACGGAACGCGAGAAATATTGATCGACCTTAAGGAGGGAACGAAGCCCAGCGAGATCTTGAAGGCTAATATGGTTGAACTTACCGCTACGACAATAAGATTCGATATAATACCACCGACGGAGCAGGAACCACCCGTCACAACTATCAGTGTGCAATACAAGATGAATGATCAGACCTGGTACAACGCAAAGAACAGGACATGGTCTGTCGGTAAGTCTCTTTGGAGGAAAGGGATGTAAGATATATCTTTCTTAACTCTTATTATTGGTTACTAGATTAAAAGAAAAAATCGGAGATTCAGTATTTTTATTTTATTCTCTTTAGATATGTTCACGTTAACGATTTTACGTAATTAATCTTATCTGAATTAATGAGTTAGTTAACACAGACACTTTGTTGCGATCTCTTTGCTTTTAAATATGTAGATAAGTGAATAAGAAACATAGAAGCTTAATTTTACTCATGAGGACAGCTTAAAGTATATATTTGAGAAAAATAAGAGTGAACAATATTTAAAATTAATAGATGTCGAGCAGTTTATACGTTTTAAATAATTTTTTTGAATTAAAAGTATTTTTTTTTAATAAACCTATTATAAATATATATGTAACATAATGTTTCAGGTTCTGTATACGTTCTCGAGGGCTTGGTACCGCAGACACCTTACGAGTTCCGCTTTGCGGCGATGAACGACGTCGGTCTGGGTACTTGGGGTGCCAATTTGTATCAAATGACACCCGGGAAAACGGTGCCGACCCAGCCGCAAATCTTAACTACGGCCGGCTCCGAGTACGAGCAGTCGGCGTTTAGTAACCAGTACGAGCTCAGTTGGAAAGCGCCATTCGACAACGGCGAGCCCATCGATGAGTATTTGATCAAGTACTGTCAGATAAAACGGGTCACGGGCGCATGGGAAGTGTTGGACAACACCTGTGAAACAATCAGGTCCCCGATTAGGACGAGGCAGTATCTGAAGGGCTTGAGGTCCGATAGCTTTTACAGTGTCGAGCTGTCGGCTCACAACATAATGGGATACAGCAAACCCGGATACGCCAAGTTCAGGACGAACAGAGGTAAGTTGCCACCTTCGCCAATTGAATTCTCGGTGTTTCTCGATCCAACATAATTATTAATGCCATGACGTATCTATATTTCTCTTAATGATTTCCACTCGAGATATATATAATTCCTTTTGAGATATATATATATATGTGCACGAAGCTACTGCACCGAATGATATTTTTTTTCTTCGCGATCTTTTTCTAAATCGTTTGTCAGTTTGTCGTCCCTATTTTTATTTGTTCGAGAAAGAGGGGAAAGGGTAATTTGAGGTCTCTCCTTTCCTCGCCTAAGATGTTTTCATTCAGTTAAACTACTTTTTATTTTTCTCTAGTAATTCTAATTGGTTCTTTGTTCGATGGTGAAACTATCTTGTTATCGCCAGAAAGGCCTGATTAATGATTTTGTTTGCTCGCTCTTGTTTTATTTCCCCAAAAATATGTATTATTATTTTCCACTGAAATTCATTCGAAAGTTAAAATAATTATTTTTATTTTTTCGTATAAAGCGCACGTTTTATAGAAATAAACCCATTTTTTTACATTAATACTCGAGATATCAATTTCGATAGAATAGTATATTATACTTTTGCACGTTACAATCTTCACCTTTTATACGTAAAATGGAATGTTATATTTCTGCGAGAGAGTAGTAAGCCGACGGCTTTTCTGGCGTTAATCAAGGTTTACAGGATTTGAAGAAATCCTCAAATCCCTTGACCCTTACGCAAGACAATTAGCTAAAGCTACCCGATGACTCCGTCGGCGGGTTTGTAGAGACGTTAGAATTTTTTTTTTTTTAATTATTTTTTTTTACGCGATGACGAAAAACTCTCTCTCTACTGGTACGGGGAAGATTTTTTTTACACAGAGCCTTTTTATCCATTCAGAATCTGCGGGCATCACTGTGGACTACACAGTAATATCTGCTGCTGGTGATACTCGCAAGATCGCCGTGGCCGCCCTTACAGCAGCAGTAATGCTCCTATCTCTAGCCATTTAGAGTCGTCGTAAGGAATATTTGCTCCTCGCGCGCTAATCCTCGTGAAACGTCATAAACGCGAGGCGAATTTCGCCGACAGTACAAGCGAGAGACACCACGATGGATGAGAAAGAAAGAGAGAGAGAAAAAACACACGTTCTATTAATATAAACACACCATCATTCGTGATTTCCTTTGCAATCTCGTGTTTCGTTCGAATCTGATCGAATAATATACTCGCGAAGAAATATACTCTCGGAATATACTTGAAATTTTTGAAGGGTATTCGCGCGAGACACGACGACGAAAGTTAATCGCGCAACATTTATACATTACACGTATACACACGCGCAATTGTGTCGTTCATTTATATACCCATCTGTTAGTAATAAAGGATCGACGACAACGAAGAGCCGAGGGGGAAAAAAATCGACTCATCGACATACATTCCGAGATAACACGAGAAAGATAGCGTTTAAGTAGGGTTTTTTATAAGAAGAGAGAAAGCGCGTGAGAGAAAGAGGAGACCCGCGAAGCGAAGTGTTATATTTATGCTTATTAATTGTTAAATGCGCTCACAGTGTATTAGTGTAAACGTACTGGTACGTTTCTTCTTCTTTTTTTTTTTTTTTTGTTTATTTTTTTCCTTTCCCGCATTGTGCTAAGGCTGTACTTTGGTGACTTTTGTAATAAGTATAGCGGGTGCGCGCAGGAACAAAGAGCACGCACGCATTTATTCGTCGTGGTGCGAGAAAACTCACGTGACCAAAAAAAACGACATTGTATCAGTTACATATATTTCTATCTTACAGAAGCGCGTTATAATTTTATTCTGTTAATTAAAGTCAGATCTATCTCTACATTTTTAAACCGGAGAGTTTAAGGTAACATATTTATATAAGTGTTCACTATGACGATCATCATCGTGTTGCAGATCATCATCGATTTTCGCAGTTTACGAACTTTTGTATGTGGTATATATACATATATTATAGCGATAATCAAAGAGAGAAAAAAAAAAGAATGTGCTTCCCTATCTATATCCATATATATACGTACGTTGGTTCGAACGAATTTATCGAATAGAAATGTCTATGGCTATATACGAGCGTGAGAGACTATAAGGTAGCGAGATACCGTATATAAGAGTGCTACTGCCCTGAATTGCCAACTATTCACCCGCGCAAAGCTTCGGTGACAAAGAGGAAAGTCGATATTAAGAGCGAGCGGCCGCGATTAGAATCGCGGGGACTCGTAAATCATGCGCGCGAATACAAATGTAACGAATACTCGTACCTTGTTGAATGCCTGAAATCGGAGCACCAGGAATCGCTTACGGAGTTTGCATTAATTAATTAACGTCTTAATATATGCCGGGCGATTTTAGACCAAACTTTTTTCCACGTGTTTTTTTTTTTTTTTTTTTTTTTTTTTTGCGATCTGATTTTTTCTTCGAGAGGAAGTTGATAATAATAAACGTTTTAAGGAGAGAACGCGACAGAGAGAGGAACGATTAAGAAAACTCGAGCATATACTTAAAAAATTCGCCGATCCATCATGGGGCTGTCGGGAAAAAAGATTAATCGTGTTATATAATGCTTAAGAAACGCGATAAAAATTACAGTCCTTGTTGGTAGGTTTTTGCGATGTAAAAAAGAAGAAAAAATATATATAAAAATCCGTTTTTATCGAAGAAGTAAGGCGGGACATTTTTCCTGCTTTCGTATACCTGACTTGAGTCGACGTTACTCCTCGTGTTTGTCCGCGACTCGCATCCGTGCGGCATTCTTTCGCGAGCCAAAGAATTTCACACGGACGAGAACGGAACTCCTCGCGTCACGCACGCAAAGAGGAAGATCCGGGAACTTTAATTCTAGAACCCGACTCTGTGTTCAACAGCGCGAACGTAGACTTCACTACGTGGAAAAGTAGAACCGTGAAATCTTTGACCGATGTATTTTTTGCAAGCTTAAAGTTCGTTTGCATATCTTCACGAAATTGCGCTAATAAATAGAGATTTAGACAATTTTTTTAATTAAAAAAATTTTTTAATTTTATTTTATGATAATAAAGATAACTGATTAGCGTATATTTAAACTGTTTGACATGTAGAGAAATTATTCGACGTTATATTCTCTCTCCTTATAAAGAATATTTCTTTAATATTTATACGTGTGTACGGAGTGGTAATCTCATTAAAACAGTAATCTCTCGGAGTAGAACCGATGTTTCGACTCCACGGTCGAGTTCTAGGATTAATTCGCGAGACAAAATTTACGAGAGAGTCCGTACGTACGACTCACATACGACTGGCAGACTGGCAATTAATTTTTTTCAGTTGATTTTTTTAATGTGATTGCATATGATTTTTTTCTCTCCTCTCTTGTCTTTGATTTCGTTTAATTTTGTAATTTTTACTTTCTGGGAAAGCTCATATATAGTCATTAGTTTCGCTTGACTAGTTTTTGAGATACGTGTTTAGTGTGCGCATGATCTGTATGTTGCGAATATCATTACGATTATACGATTTTCTTATTACATTTACAATATAATTATCAATTTATTATTATTATTATGCCGTAGTTTCTCCTCTCTTACGAATCTAATACAAACCGCCGCTACCGATAGTAGCCGCCATTTTATCGCCGCCTAATTATCACTAGAAACCACTGTCGTGATTAATCACTAATCTCTCGGGCGAAATAAAAACAGGAATCGAGAGCGATCTAATTTCAACGAGTTCAAATTTCGATGCAAGAGAAACACAAATGTCAATTCCAAGCGTAAAGTAACTAGGCAGAAGGGGAGAGCAAAGTTAGATGAATATTGCTAATTTAAAATATTAAGTGTTCTGTAATATAGATTTGATTATGCAAAATTTTTCGCATAATGAATAATAATTACAGGATCAAAAATCATTTTATTGAATTTCTTCCACATTTATTTATTCGTCCGTTAATCTATATGCAACCGCACAATTATTCCAGTCGCGGGAACGTATCTTAAAGTTAAAGTACACTTTTTCCATATCCTTTCATGTGGAGAATTGAACTCGACGGAATTATACAGTTTTCGATCCCTGGATAAGAGACTACAAAAGGAGCGCGGTTCGATCTCGAAGGCCTTGTCGTATCCGGAACAGGGCGGTCTTTTACCTCAAGTGCCTGTAGCCACACACGTGCAACAATACACACACACACACACATACGTACATACACATAGACATATACACATATACATGTACGCATATTGACCGCCTCCTTGAGGCTCGCGCGCGAAAACACCGACGATCGATCTCGATGTGACGAGGTCTTCGACCCGTATCTTTTTACGTTCCCTTTTAACTTGTCTGTTCGCAAATGCCTGGGTTCCTAGATATTAGCCCACAACGCATGGCATGCGCTTTGTTATCGTTACTACCCCCCTTTCCTCTCCTCTTCCATCCTCTTTTTTTTTTCTTTAACTTAGCGATGCGTCGAGTTCCACATTCGGCGATGTTCCCATTCCGCACACGACGACGAGACCCCGTTTCGACGTGGAACGCGGAGAACTCGAGTTCGCGAGTTCCTCGACGACGAACGTGTCGGATTTTTTTCACGACGAATTTTTGCCCAGTACATCTCCGAGATCGATTTTTCTCGTAACGAGAATTTTCAAAGATTGCGCAATCGCGAGATCGAAGATTCGAACGTTTTGTCTCTCAAAATACTTGAAAATCGAAGGAAATTTATTTCCGAGAGACCTACTTTATGCTATTTCGAGAAAATTTATATCAAGTGATATTTAATTCTCGAAATTGCATTAAATTTAAATTAAAAATTTCTTAATATTAGAAAATTTATCATCGACCCACTTTACTTATTTTAAGTGAAATCTATTTTTAACAAGAATTTTATATTTCGAGCAAAAGGATTATTCACATCTTGAATTAAATAATCTCTCAAGAAGAAATTATGAGAAAGTTCTCTCAATGAGAACATATTAAAATATCAAAAATATTTGAAAATTATAAATTTACGCTAATGAATAATCG